GAAGCAGGCTATTGGAATTTTAATAATAAAAGGTTAGTACGGTACGTGTTAAACCTGCCATTGATGATACTGACTGTGTTACAAAAGAACAGACTATAACTTATAATAAAAAACTATATTGTTGGGATGCCAAAAAACAATTTATAAGGAATCTACCAGAGGGGGAACATTTGGATGATATTTGTCTAATGTCACAAGCTATGCATTTTGATGGATCGACATTTGTATATGGAGAAAAAAAATTTAATTTGATGGAATACAATCCTGATTTATTAGTTGCTGACCCCACATCTTTGAGTGGATTTAAGTATATAGATAATAGACCATATACCAGAAAACTATGTATTTAAAAGAATGGAAGATAATCTATTGATTGGGGCTAATGGTGATATATTTAGAGTTAAAGGAAAGAGTGATGTTATAAAAAATGAATGAAATTGCATACGAGCTTCATAAGCCTGCAAGAAAGAATTTCATTAGAAGGTCTTTTAAAGTATTAGATATAAATGAAACCATACAAATAGATTTAATTGATATGCAAAGCTATGCTAGAGCAAATTCTGGCAATAAATATATTTTAACTTTAATAGATACATTTTCTAAAAAAGCTTATGCTGCTCCACTAAAGAATAAGACAAGGTTGGTGGTTACAGAAGCCATTAAAACCATTCTACCAAAGGGGGTTAAAAACATTCAATCCGACAATGGAATAGTTATTTGTGCAACTAGTGAGAAAAGTAAGCAATTGACTCACTCGAGAGAAATCCTTACTCACGAGCCGTAGGCGAGTGAGGAATGGTTTCTCGAGTGAGGCAATTGTACTTTGAACTCGAGTTGCACATTATACTTTTCCTACAGTTACCATAAAACAAATAAATTGGTGAAGAAACATAACCTATTTTTACACAGAAGTGAACTTTTAATATAACATTTAATGTGAAGTGACAAATACAACAGTACAACAGCTGGCTGATTTACAGCCAGTACTGCCAACGTATTTCGCGCGCATACGACGTTGCCTGCATGTTACGCGCTCACTATTTCGTGCCTTCACGTTGCAAATCTGGAGTGAGACAAAGTAATTAGAGTGAGACAATGTTAACATTGTCTCACTGATGAGCGAATTGGACACTTTGCTTTCTCAAATCAGTGAGAGAACATGTACATTGTTAGGTAACTGTAGGAAAAAGAACTTTTTAATCAATATTCTAGCAAACTAATGAAAAACTTAAATATTTATCACTATCACACTTTTTTTACAACTAAGGCTGCAATTGTGGAGAGGTTTCAGAGAATCTGCTTATATTCTGCTGCCATAACATTTATGTACTTTTAAATCAATCAATTTGTTAAAATGCGTTTTAGAATGTTTTATACTTAAACCCAACGAAGGCCGAACGATTCTTTCCTTTGTAGGGCCAACGAATACCAGTTTCCGTTGGGCCAACGTTGGCAAATCGTTAACATTTCTGCCAACCATTTCCCAACCGTGCCGACCATTTCCCAACGTTGTGCCAACGATGTGTGCTACTTGGGAATTATATAATCAAATAACAAATATTGTATCTGCCAGCTGTAAAATATGGGACAAATTCAGTTTGAGAACACATAAACAGAAAATACTTGTACTTAAGGTAACGCTGTTATACTGAAGAGTTGGTGCGATGGCGATAACCTACATCCTGTTGAGAACTAGTCAAGTGATTGTTCTTTTACAAAAATAGTACACATTTCTCAGGATATGAAATAGACAACAATCATTTTTGTTTAGTAATTAAAATTATTGCTCAAATATATTTCAATGTTAGAGTTCACTACTACTATAAAATAAGTAACGAAAGTCTTCACAAAAATAAAGTCAGGCAACATCTCAATAAAACTGAAATTTTTCTGGGACAATAAATTGAGTGTAATTTTACAAATATTTGGGAAGTTTTATTTAACTTACATAATTATCTTTAGTTTATCTTGGATGATATTGAAAGCAAATTAGTCCTTAAAAAGCTGTGCTAAACGGTTGAAAATTCTTCATAGACAATATATTTGAAAATGTCTTTAATATATACAATATTACAGTACAACAGTATAAATAAAACATTAAAACACTGCACGCTAAATTTATAGACGACGGCCCGGCGGGGCAGTGGGCGTGGCGCGGAGCAGCGGCAATGGACCCCTTTTGTACCTGATATTTTTAGAAAACCACGCACGATAAAAATTTTTGGTGAATCGGATAGTTACATTTGGTTATTTCTCCACAAATTTCCCGCTGATGAAATTACTCTAACCAAAAAATAAAAAAAATTCCTCGCCTTGACTACTTCCTTAACACCTTCCTACGTCGCGGACCTGTTTTCCTTCCTTCCCATAGCATTTTAGGATTGCAGATACCTTAATCTATTCGTTTAAACAGTTCCCACACTCCTGACGACTCGCCTTGACTATTTCCTTCACCACTTCCTACGTCGTGGACCTGTTTCCCGCCCTTCCCATAGCATTTAAAGATTGCAGATACCCTGATCTTATCGTAATTAACAGTCCCCACACTCCGGACTGCTCGCCTTTACTACTTCCTTCATCACTTCCTACGTCACGGACCTGTTTCCCTCCCTTCCCATAGCATTTTAGGATTGCCCATACCCTTATCCAATCATTATTTAAACAGTTCCCACACTCCGGACAGCTCGCCTTGACTACTTCCTTAACACCTTCCTTCGTCACGGACCTGTTTCCCTCTCTTCCCATAGCATTTTAGGATTGCCCATACCCTTATGTAATCGTCATGAACAGTTCCCACGCTCCGGACTACTCGCCTTGACTACTTCCTTCACAACTCCCTACGTCACGGACCTGTTTCCCTCCCTTCCCATAGCATTTTAGGATTGCCCATACCCTTATCTAATCGTCATAAACAGTTCCCACACTCCGGACAACTCGCTTTGACTACTTCCTTCACCACTTCCTACGTCACGGACCTGTTTCCCTCCCTTCCCATAGCATTTTAGGATTGCCCATACCCTTATCCAATCATCATAAACAGTTCCCACACTCCGGACAGCTCGCCTTGACTACTTCCTTAACACCTTCCTTCGTCACGGACCTGTTTCCCTCCCTTCCCATAGCATTTTAGGATTGCCCATACCCTTATGTAATCGTCATGAACAGTTCCCACGCTCCGGACTACTCGCCTTGACTACTTCCTTCACCACTTCCTACGTCACGGACCTGTTTCCCTCCCTTCCCATAGCATTTTAGGATTGCCCATACCCTTATCTAATCGTCATAAACAGTTCCCACACTCCGGACAGCTCGCCTTGACTACTTCCTTCACCACTTCCTACGTCACGGACCTGTTTCCCTCCCTTCCCATAGCATTTTAGGATTGCCCATACCCTTATCTAATCGTCATAAACAGATCCCAGACTTCTCACTGCTACCCTTGACTACAATGTATCGAGTAATCTTCAGTATAATCTTTGCTAAATTATGTTTTTCCTTTTGTACTGTATTTGTAATTTGCTAGTATACTGTGGGTAGGGGTCTGACTTAGGGGAGGTACAAATGAGGCATTTAGTTCAAAATTCCTCCGCGAACAGCGCTGTAGTAGAGAGCACTTTGGCAATGAAGGTTTACTAATCGCAAAAATAGTTCTGTTCATAAAATAAAATTATAAATGCCTCAAATTCAATTTTACTATTTTTTAATTATAAAATTAAACTATCATAACCTAACCGAACTAACCAAACTTGCTGATAAAGAAATAATATAACAAAAGTTTAGTAATCGGAAAAATAATTCTGTTTATTAAATAAAACTAGAAATTGCTCAATTAAAATTTTATAATGACTTAATAATAAAATTAAACTGTAATAACCAAACCAAACCAACCAAACTTGCTGATAATAAAAAAATCTTGGACAAAAAGTTAACGCTTCCAGCGGGATTTCGAACCCGGGGCTACAGTATATCAGCCCGGCACGCTAACCAATAGACCACCGAGGCCGATGGATGTTGAACGTTTTGTTACGGTAATGGCGTTCCCTCAGCTAATAAGAAGATCTCAGCTGTCATCGTAGCCTCTTCTATACCTCCCCTGAGTAAATACCCTGTGGGGTGTTGGCTTATTATGAACACATGCTACAACTTCAAGTCTTTTGTTTACTTTTCCTTGTTATTTAATTCAGCCAACAAGGTTACCTAGCAACCCATAAGACTAATGTTAAAAAAATGTGATTTTCAGTTTCATTTTTCTACGTAATTAGATTTTTGTTGGCAGTTCTAACTGCAGTAAACTCGTTTTTAGGCCAGAATAAAACTATTTACAACATTTGAAGAAAATCGTCGGAACCGTTTTCGAGATCTTTGTGCAAGCAAGCATACATACATACATACATACATACAAGCAAACATTGCTCGTATTAGAGTATAGGATTAAAAATGTGATACTTTCTAGTCACAAATAAGTTATACAGCAGATCAATGAACACACACACACACACACACACAATTCAAAGTCACCCCACAGATTTGCTTGAACTGAAGCTAAGAATTGTGCAAAAACTTAAGTGATTCCTGAATAAATGCTAGAGGAGTATTTGATGGAGTTTACAAGTGACTAAAAAGGAATGTCAAGTAGAAAAAGGACGTCAATTGCAGGATTTTGTTTTCAAGAAATGGAAAATGACTTTGTTAAGTTAAAATGGCAAAAGATAAGCTGTGTTTTGATGTGCTATTTATATCCATAGGATGAATATTATTGAGTTTGTACTACTTATAAATTGGGGCGCTTTCATTGCCCCACCCTGTATTAATACAGAAGTAAGGTACCGGTATTTTTTTTGGGAGGGGGGGGGGCTGTTTTACAAACCACAGTTATCACGTACAAACACATGCTGCAAGACCGATAAAAGATATGTCTCCTCGACTACAAGTTTACATATATGTAAGTAGTAAGGACTTTTGGAGCGGAATTAAAATCTTACATGAGGAAAAATACTTACCGAAAATAATGTTTAACAGGAACGCCAAATACACTGTCACCATAGATAGCCTCCCTATAGACTGCTTACAACGTTTTCTTGCCCCTCGACGACGGCGGGAGGGCGTTTATTCTTGGCACGTCACGACCAACCATCATATGGCCCTAAGTTGTTATTTTTACACCATACTGTTAATATGACCAATGGGAAACTGCTGTAAAAAAGCGAGACTATGATGTAATCCGATGGATAACTATACCGTGTTAGGTATATACGTACCTGGAAATGTTCACAAAATTTAAACAAGTAAAAAATCAACAAAATTAATATCAAGTTTTAGTAAAACTATTTGCTTCAACAACTTTAAAATGCACGTCTGTAGAGTGAGTGCAGCAATGAATGACCAACCCCCAGTGATTTTTTCGTGTAAAAAACATAATTAATAAGCTTTTTTTGTTTTGTCTAGTCTATAATAAAACGGTAGTTAAAGTACAGTACTTTGAGCCTGATTATATTTTACCTAATTACCTCATCCTTTGCTTGAGACCAGATTGTACTGGATAAGCTGCATCAAATATACAACTAGCCGCTATACTCGTGCCTTGCAACGGGGTCAAGATGCATGAGAGACAATTTTGGTTTCTTGAAAATGCCGTAAAATGGTTGTTTCATCCTCCATTTAATTTAGAAACAAAATTCAACTGTACCAACTTAATGACAGTCCGTTTTTGTCAACTCAAACTGTGAACACTTATTTAGGCTACCTAGGATGGTGTAAAAAGTGGTGCCGATGCACTCATGAAAATGTAGACCTATATGATTTTATGTTTTTAAAATACGCTAACTATAAGTGTATTTGCTTGGAAAAAAGGTTTTGGAATTCAATTGTTAGGTAAACGAATCCTTAAACTAAGGGTAATGTGGTGTATAAAAATCATTGATTGTTATAAATGTCGCATAACAAATATACAAATAACCTGAATGCTACTTATGGTAAGGCATCTCTCCCTGTAGCTCATGAAGTATAATTTACACTGGGAGAAAAGATAAAAATGTAATATTTACCAACCACCGCCACATTTGGTTTATCAAACATATACTTCTTGTTAATTCCTACACAAGTTTCATAAATGTAAATATTTTATCGACAAGTAACTTATAAAGAGCAGGTTCAAATTAGCAAATCTTATCTATATACTAGCAGAGACCCGTCCTTCGTACAGGGTTGGCATATAAGTATAAATTGCTTATTGCAGTTATTCTCAAGATTTGCGTTTGCAATGGGGGAGGACACCGTTTGATAAAATTTGCTACCATAATGTAATATTGATAATGTTCTACCACTTCACCTAAACAAAAGTGTAAGATAAATTATTAAAAATTCGCAGAATAAGTTATCACAAATTATTCATAAAGTCAAGAACATTAAGATAACTGTAAACAATCCTACTTTGACAGTTCTCAATGTGTATCACAGTTTTAGCGAATTTCCCTATAATAGGGAAGTAGCTATTACCGTAGGTGGCACGGTAGGATCTAGGCCCGGGACCTATTTACTTTTTCGTTTTGATGTCCCCTAAGGCCAAAAACACCATTCGTTCAAATTTATATATATATATATACACGTCCGTGAACGCCATAACTTGAGTCATTTTTGTCCGATTTTGATGACATTTAGTTTAAAGGTGTAAGGCGGGATAAACTTGAATGAGTTCGCGAACCATCATGATCGGACCATGAGAACGGGGTTTTACGGGGGATTTTATAAGTAAAAAATGGGTTTTTTTCATTTTTGACCCTCAAAACACAAAATTTCCCAATTTCTATCTCGACCTTTTTAAAGAGCTTAAAAACACAAATAATTTAGTAGTCTACATAATAGTGTTTTTGTACAATTATTGGTAACGGAGAAAATTAAAAAAAATCGAAATTTAAAATTCCCATGTTATTCTTATGGGGAATATTGTAAAATGTGTAGTTTGCTTGTTTATGGATATATTTTGATAAAACTTGACAAATTTATTCATTGTATACTAAGCTATTAATATTTTACTAAAAACCCTACTTTAATGGTTTCCATGTAGCAGCAAACCTAAGTACTCGTTAAACGTAATGTTACTTAAATAAGATTTAATTGAAAATCAATTCAGACAAATGGAAATTCGCTTAGTCGGTAGGTTTGCTGTGGGGGGGGTATTTTGTTTCTGCTCAGTTCAAATTATCTGTTTTCATAAATGCAAAAAATAACAAAAAGCCTTTAAGTTATAAGATTTACCAATAGGGTGTACTGGTAAATCTTATAACTTTAAGGCTTTTGTATATGATAGAACCAACATTTTTAGTTGAAACAGCTGACTAAATTCTTTAATTTCCTTAAAATATGAATACTCATAAGGTTAACATGGGGAACTAAAGAGCCACTGGGGGCGGAGCCCGAAAGTATTTTTGAGATAAGAATATGTCTATAATAAGGTTTTAAATTAATTTCCAGGAAATTAATCGAGAATGTAAGCTATCATCATGCCAAATTTCAGCCCAATCCGTCCAGCAGTTAATGCGTGATTGAACTTCAAACAAACAAACACACAAACTTTCACATTTATAATATTAGTAAGATAAAGCCAAAAGTATCCATGAACTTTTGAGAAAACTACACGTCACACCCCCATAAACCATATACTTAAAAATGTTCGTCATGACGAGAAACCTTGCGCAAAACTATCCATTATTACATAAATTGCCCTATAAGGTCTAATTAATTTTCAAAGGGAACTTTCCATATACCTAATATTAAATCTCAGCTCAGTTATATTAGCCTCATATTAATACCTCAGCTGTATTCATTTGTATGTTATTCTTTCAATTTATTACCTTATTAAAATTATTTGAGATTATTTGTTTGTATTACTGTATTCTTTTTTGTTTATTTCAGCTTAACCTAACCAATTAATAGTTTTATTAATACTTATGAAGTCAAATGGGGTGAAGCCCGTGGGTAATAGCTAGTAGAAAGTAAGTGTCATTTTGCCCGTTCCAAAATGTACAGTTGGATTTTTTAGCTAGAAGCTGTTGACGTGTGGTGGAATATCTTTGAAGACTCAAACTCAAACTCAAATATCTTTATTTTTGACAGTCGTTACAAACTGCATAATAGCGTCAACAAAATTTCTCTTACAAATAAAAACAATATTTCTTATGGATAAAATCTAAAAACTAAAAATCATTGATTTCTTAAAAAGTCTTCTACACTGTAACAACAGCGTGACAAAAGAAGACTCTTAACCCCTTTGCCAAATTTGTCCACACTATTTTCCATCTTCAGGGGAGCGGGCAGTGCATTGAACAGTTGAATGCCATTGTAAAATAAATGATTTTTAAAAAACGCAGTTTTGTGCTTTGGAATGTCCAAATCGGACCGGCTTCTCAAACCATAGGAGATAGGGCGAGACTGATTTTGAAAAAAGTTGATATTTTTCTTAACAAAGACGAGACAGTTTAAGATATAGATTGACGGAAAAGTAAGAATTTTATAGTTAGCAAAAAGTGTTATACAGGAAAATCTACGTCGCTTCTTAAAAACTGTTCTGATGGCTTTCTTTTGTAGTTTAAAAACTCTTTTAGAATTTACACACTCATGTCCCCAAACTGCAACTGCATATGAAAGACAATGAAAAACCAGTCCGTAGTAAGCCACCACTAGAACTTTAGAGTCCAAGAATGTAGCCAAATTTCTTAATAAGAATATATTAGAACTCAATTTATTACAGACATAATCTAAGTGGGGTGTGAATTTCAACTGGCTGTCGATGTGAACGCCCAGGAACTTAGTTTCTGAACAGGACGGAATGAAATTATTGTTGTCTATGGAAATTGACAGGGGTGCTGTGTTTTCTTTGTTTTTGATATGAAATTCGATCATTTGAGTTTTGGCACTGTTTAAAAACAAGTTGTTGCAGCTAAACCAATGTAATATTGAGCTGATCTGACCAATTGCTTTCCTTCTGAGGTCGCGCATGCATGCTGCAGACAACGACAATGAGGTGTCATCAGCAAACAAACATACACTACCCTCAGACTCAGGCACACAACTTGGCAGGTCATTAACAAAAAGGATTAATAAGACCAGACCAAGCACCGAGCCCTGAGGAACCCCTGTGGTGATTGCCAGGGGAGGTGAAAATGCAGACTTTGAACAGTTGTTGTCATCAATGAAAGGAATTTGAACTGCCTGAGTTCTGCCGGTCAGATAAGATTCCATCCAGGAGTGAGCCACACCTCTTATCCCGAGTGAGCAAAGTTTGTCTAATAAGAAGCCGTGATCTACCGTATCGAAGGCTTTGCTAAGATCGAAGCACCGAGCCCTGAGGAACCCCTGTGGTGATTGCCAGGGGAGGTGAAAATGCAGACTTTGAACAGTTGTTGTCATCAATGAAAGGAATTTGAACTGCCTGAGTTCTGCCGGTCAGATAAGATTCCATCCAGGAGTGAGCCACACCTCTTATCCCGAGTGAGCAAAGTTTGTCTAATAAGAAGCCGTGATCTACCGTATCGAAGGCTTTGCTAAGATCGAAGAAGATTCTAGCTGCAGCCTTTCCTGAATCAAGGGATTGAGTCAATGATTAGACTAGAAAGTGAATGGCATCGACTGTACTTCTATTTTTTGTGAAGCCAAATTGATTCGGGGAAAGAATATTGTGTTTATCAATAAAATATATCAGTCTAGAAAGAAAAATCTTTTCAAATATCTTCGAAAAGGTTGAAACAAGGGAAATAGGACGATAATTGTTTATATCAAGCTTTTTACCTTTTTTTGTGAAGGGGGCGAACAATTGCATGTTTTAGTTCAGTCGGAAACACCCCTTCTTCAAACGAGGAATTGATGAGATGAGTGAGAGGAGAGCATATAAGATCGCTGATTTCCTTTAAGAGTTTTGAGGAAAATCCATCATACCCTGATGATGACTTAGATTTTAATCCCATAATTTAATGCATTAATTTCATGCATTAATGAAGATGAACCTATTTGGCTGTAGTGCGATCATGTGTTCACTGCTCATATGTGTCAAATTTTGAGGTTAAATCAAATCCCCGGCACATCCACAAA